TCTGGGTCCTTCAGCTCACAACCCCCCAGTATCCTAGCTCCCCCACCCCCAGTCCCCAATCATTAATTAGCTACTGAATTAATTAAATCGTGAATGCTAATTAACATTCCTACAGGGCAGGCTGCCAGGCTGGGGGCAGAGGGGATGAGAAGACAAGTGGAGATCTGGAGGCAGAGAGAACACAGAGGACACAGAAGGAACCCATAGGAGGGATGAAGGAGAAAGAATGCAGGGTGGGGACGGGCAGGGCAGGGCTGCAGGTAGAGGGCACTGGCATGGAAAGTGGGGTGTTAAACACCTAGAGGTAAGTGAATGCAACACAGCCTTCCCACCCAAGACAAGACACAGGTAAGTCCTTGTCAACTTACCTCCGTTCCAATTTTAGACAGCTCATTTGGAATGGGACACTCTGACAGTGGCGTGGCTCAGTGGATAACAGTGCTTGCTGCCAAACATAGGAGCCAGAGGTCAATCTCTGAGAACCACGTGGTGGAAGGAGGGAACTGACTCAGTCAGTGTCCTCTGGCCTGGTGTGACACACACACCACAGCATGCAAGCACACAAATAAACAAATGTAATACAATAAATAAATGAGGGTTCACTCTATAAAAAGAAAAAAAAAAAAACAACTCCAAAACTGTGAGTTGACAGCTATGACATGTTTGCTTGTCACTGGCTCTCAGACCAGGTAGGCAGAAAGAAGATTCTGTACTCCTCAAGGCCCATGTAGAGCCCATCTTCTTCTGGCTGCCATAGGCACCAGGTACACACTTGGTGCACATACATACAATACATACATGCAGGCAAAGTTCTTCTTCTTCTTTTTTTTTTTTTTTTTTTTTGGTTTTTGAGACAGGCTTTGTCTGTGGCTTTGAAGGCTATTCTGGAGCTAGTTCTTGTAGACCAGGTTGGTCTCGAACTCTTAGAGATCTGCCTGCCTCTGCCTCCCAAGTGCTGGGATTAAAGGCATGTGCCACCACCGCCCAGCCAGGCAAAGTTCTTATATGCATAAAAATAAATAAATCTTTAAAAAACACATTAAACTGTTAACAGTGTTTAACCTACCTATTCCAAACTCATTAGGTCATGGAACCCCGTGTGTGTGTGTGTGTGTGTGTGTGTGTGTGTGTGTATTTATTGGCAGGAGCACATGTATGACACCAAGCATGTTTAGAGACCAGAGAACTACTTGTAGAAACCAGTTCTCTTCTTCTACATAGATCCCTGGGGTGGAACTTAGGTGTCAGGTTTGGCAGCAGATATCGCTACATGCTGAACCAATTCAATGACCCTCTGTTTTTGTTTTCCTCAGACAGGGTCTTGCTATGGAGTTCACGCAGGCCTCAAACTTAATATGTAGCCCGGGTTGTCCTTAAACTCACAGCAATTCTCCTGAGTGCTAAGATTAAAGATACGCGCCACCAAGCCTAGCTTTTACCTTTTAATTCCATCTTTTTTCTTCTTTATTTCTCTTCTTTCTTTTTTTCTTTTTTGCTCCTCTAAGGGTTGAATCCATGACCTTGTGTAGCCCTTAGTTTTCCTTTCTTCACACAAAGTACTCTGCTTTGTGAAAGCCCTGTAGAAAGCCCTGCATAGATGATCAGGAGAAGTTTTGGTCTAGAAGCTGATAGATCTATTGTTTCAAGGTAAAGAGGATATTTTTGTTTGTTTTTGAGAACTGTCTATGTAGCCCTGGCTGTCCTAGAACTATCTCGAACTCACAGGATTTGCCGGCCTCTGCCTCCCTACTACTGGGATCAAAGGTGTGTGCCACCACACCCGGCCTGGAGAAGAGGATTCTAAGAGTCCACAAAAGAACAACACAGAGTTCCGTTGTGTAGATATGAAGAAGAAGTACCAGGCCAGCTCCCAATGGAGAAGCCTATTGCTCTTTGGAATCACAGTATCTTAGGGTCACTATTGCTGTGATGAGACACCATGACCAAAGCAACTTGGGGAGGAAAAGGTTTTTTTCGGCTTACGCTTCCACATCACTGTTCATCATCAAAGGAAGTCAGGACAGGAACTCAAGCAGGGCAGGAACCTGGAGTCCAGAGCTGATGCACAGGCCATGGAGTGTGCTGCTTAGCCTGCTTTCTTATAGAACCTCTAAGCCAGGTCTCCAAGAGCTTCTCAACATTCTTGGCCCACTCATGGATAAAGTAAGAGAAAAAAACCTAGACATTTTCACAGGATATAGTTGTTTGTACACACACACACACACACACACACACACACACACACACACACACACACAGCTTTACTTAGCATGATAGTCAAGAAGTCAAGAGCTCTACCAGTAACCACAACCCAGCCCTCAGGACAATGTTTTTTGTTTTGTTTTGGTGATTTTTTGGTTTCATTTTTTGTTGTTTGTTTTGAGACAGGGTTTCTCTGTGTAACCCTAGGTGTTCTAGCACTCACTCTATAGACCAGGCTGGCCTCAAACTCACAGAGATCCACTCCTTCTACCTCCCAAGACATGCGCCACCACCACCCACCCACCCAGAGTTTTTAAAGAAAGCTATCTTTGCTAAATTATGCCTCCTGTCAGTGAGAAAGAAAAGCCCAGCTTGCTAGAATCATGTTCTAACCTGGCTCACTCTTCCTCCCAGAGCCTAGTTTATCTCTCAGACACCTCAGCAGTGTGCCATTGTCAGCAGCTGAGACATTGCAGAGCTACAGTACAATGATGATTGCTGACTTATCCAATAACACTGCCAAGCCTGGCCAGCTCCCTACAACAGTGGCAGTCGGCTACAAAATTCAATATTGATACACTGTATATTGTCTTCTGGGAGCATCACTCTGCCTAACAAGTATTCTCTAAGCCTCCTACGATCAGTGGCAAAGATGAGGAGGAGGCTGGTCAGGGTTGCCACTGGGAGTGAAGCACAGGGAGCCAAGCAGAGGAACAGGAAGTGCTCAGTGCCCAGTGTGAACTCCCCACTTTCCCCCTCTCACCCAGATATGCACCCCACGTTAGAGCCTATACACTAGCTATTCTCAGGGCATTTCCCATATAACTGCACACAGCCACCTGCCTTCCTGCTCTTTGTTGGCTGTGATGGCTTTTCTTGGTTATCAACTTTTGGAATGAATATTTGGAATGAACTACAATCCAGAAATGGAAAGCACACCAGTAAGATATTTTTTTTGCTCAGTTTGAAGTGGGTCCAGACCTTTGAAGTAGAAAGATGCACACCTTTGATCTGGATCTTGTGGCAGGAAGACACACCTGTAATCTGGACCACACCTTCTGCTGGAAGCCTATGTAAGGATGTGGAAGAAGGAAGATTTTGCTTTGCCTGCCTGCTCTCGCCTTGCTAGCAAATCCATTCCTTCACTGGTACTAGAGCTGCCTTCTTCGGGATTCCAGTGTCTACAGAATACCAGCTGAGACATCCAGACTTGTGGACTGAACAACTTCTGGACTCTTGGACCTTCAGTTCATAGCCAGCCATTGTTGGATTAGCTGCATCACAGCCTATAACCCATTCTAATAAATCCCCTTTCCATATTTATAGAGAGACTCATTCTATAAATTCTACTACTCCAGAGAACCCTGCCTAAAACATTGGCTGAGGCCTATCCTGCTCTCCCTATTTAATACAGCAATCTGTTCTCTTTACCATGCTATTTCTCCCCATTACATATATTATATCCTGACATATTACATAGCTTGGTCATTATGTTTACCGTCTGCCTCCTGTTTCACCTGTGACAGGTACTCTGCAAAGGTGAGGATCTTTGGTTTGTTTGCTGGTGTAACCCTAAGCACCAACAATAGTGCTTGACACAGGAGGTGCCCAGCAAGTATTTACTGAATGAACAAACCCAGAGTGTGATGTGTCTACTTGGACAGACCAATCCATTTAGCTCATTATCTGGCATTGAGAGCAAAAAGAGATGAGTTATCCCTCGGGATTCTGTTTTCCAGAAAGATGGATAGCTAGAAAATGTCCCCACCCTCCTCTGTCTTCAAACATATGCCCATCTGCAGATACTAGAGAATGGAGAGGATGTTTTCTGATGAACTTTAACCTCCTTCTCAACTTGCATTCAGTGAGGCTGTTTATTCCTTCAGCTCTGGGTCAGACTGAAAAAACAATTCCCAGAGCCAAGGAACTCTAACTTTAGTAAGAATCACCCGACAGTGTTGGAGAGATGGCTCAGAGGTTAAGAGCACAGGTTGCTGTGTTCAATTCCCAGAAACCACGTGGTTGCTCACAACCATCTGTAATTGGATTGGATGTTCTCTTCTGGTGTGCAGAAGAGCATGCAAGGCAGAGCACTAATACATAGAATAAATAAATCTTAGAAACTGATGAAGTACAAGAGGTTAGTTCCACCAAGCTAACTCAGCATGGGTCAGCCTTTGTCCCCAGGGTCTTGACTCTGTGCCTTGTAATATATTGACAGTGTTCTTTTAGGAATTTAGAGTTGATCTTAACTATCTCACTTTAGAAAGCAGGCAGTAAAAATGAGCATGCCTGACTCTGGGTGTGGTTATGTATTCCCTTAATCCCAGCACTCAGGAGGCAGAGGCAGGTAGATCTCTGAGTTTGAAGCCAGCCTGGTCTCTACAGAGTGAGTTCCAGGACATCCAGGGATACACAGAAAAACCTTTTTTTCAAAAACAACATAAAAAGAGCATGCCTTCCTCCATCCATTTTGCACAAAGAAAACTGGCATAAATGAGGGGAGTGAGCTGGGCCTGGCCTCTGCTGAAATCCCTGAAAGTACCAGGCACAGCACAGATTCTCTCTCGGACAAGATAATGGGCAAATCTGAAGGGATCCAATATTCCAACCCCAAAGCTTGCTGATGCACTAAGCAACTGCTCCTTTCCAGGAAGATGTCCTTAAAGGGACAAAACAACACACACTCATCAATCAGACCTCAGTCAGTGGAGAGACTCCAGGACTTTCTATGACAGAGGCCTGGAAGAAGGAAAACTAGCCAAGGGAGAGAGGGTCAACGAGATGTCCCAGTGCCTCCGAGTGGGCACACAGGTTCTCTGTGAGCCTACAGACAGAGCTACCCAGGAGATACAGACAGGCACAGGGCACTGTGGGCCTTTCTCTGGTCTGTTCTCATTGCCTCCTCTATCCTTATAGATCTTATTAGAAGATAGCATTGTTCCTGCCCATTCACACAGAGAAATGACTGAGTCGCTCAGGTGTAAAGCCATCGAGGCCAGATTCCAGAGCCAGAGGTTGAAAAGGAGCCCCGCTGCCTCTTCATCTTCATAACCACCTGTCACCTGAAGTGTCCAAAGATCAACTTCATTTCCTTCAACATAAGAAATCATAACAGTGACTACTTTTTACTTTGGACCCAACACCAATGTACATAATATAAAATTAAAAAACTTTAGAAAGAAAGAAAGAAAGAAAGAAAGAAAGAAAGAAAGAAAGAAAGAAAGAAAAGAGCTGGGGCCTGGA